CTACTCTAAGCATTTTAGAAGCAGAGTAAAAACAATAAACAATAAGTAGCAAATCACAAACTCATCCACCCACCAACATTAAACATCAATAAATAAGAGTGGATATACTCTTGTTCTATGTGAATGTAAATGCTTCTGAATTCTTATCAGAGTTTCAATGCAGAGCATCAATAAGTTATCCCACATATGGCTCCTTAGCACTCAGTTATCGGGATTTACATTTTCAAGTCAACGTTCTTAGAATCAGACTGCCAGTATCGTTTTTCTTAAACTACAGTGGCAGAGAGGACTAGTGTTGAGGGTTGGTAGAGTAACTAAAGCTACCAAAGTCAGTGGCTGCGGTGAGATCCGGCCTGGAGGAATTACTGATTCATGGCATCGCCTCCTTCTCCAACCATTACACCGCATCAGCTCCTATATCACTCTCAAATCATTCACAGCTTTGTCATGGCTTGATCCCCATGTTCAATGAAATGTATTCAGGGTAGGGAAATGGAATAGGTTGTTTACACATAAAGAAATTCCTTTGGACAAAGGACGTGTATGACTAGAAGGAGTGTTACAGGAAGAGAAACAATGTAGATTTCTATTTCATAATTGATTTTAAATTGATAATATAGTTTGTTTTATTTATAGCTTCTCTTTCCTCCAATGAACTCAAGACAATAATGCTGGGGAAAATTTGGGGGGGGGGCAGTAGGAAGAGAGGAAGATCTAAGGAGGGGGGGCAGTAGGAAGAGAGGATGATCTAATATGAGGGAGCTTGTCTCAATAAAGTAAGCCACACCTGTTGGTTTGCAAGACCTGAGCCGAACTTTCAATAAAAGACAATATTGCTAGGAAGGGGAGGTAGTAGGAAGAGAGGATAACCTAACATCTGGTGCTGTTGGTTTGCAAGATCTCAGCAGAGCTGAGGTAATTTACCCATATAGTCACCACACATCAGAAGTGACCAAATGGCACATAACATCTTTGGAGGTTTTTTCCCCCTTAATTACCAGAAAAGATGGGTGGAATGATTGAAACTATGATACCAAAGGTCTGCTAAAACTGAGTAAGACCATCACCACCCGCAAAGCAAAAAATCAACAAGATTTATTTCACAGCTTAAATGAATGAGCTTCTGAATATTTATCTGATTTCTAGTGTAGTGTAATGGATAGTTCTTCTCCTGAGAGTCAGCTAATAGAATCTTGACTGACAAGGTCAGATGTTCAGATTGCCCCAGATCTGGAGCGGATTTTCCCTTTGAAAACTGTTGTGAGGAGCCTGGTTTCAGAAATGTTTACTGAAAGCACTCAGGGTTGGACAAACACGATTAGGCTGTGCTTTTGTAATGCAAAAATACTTTGGATATGCCTTACAGAATTGTGTACTAATTCCCTGCAGGTACATGACAAAATGTTTCTTTCTGGAGGACTGTCACTCAATTTCTTTCTTTAAAGCAAGCTTCTTCATTTTTACTTTTCAAAGAAAACCTGTATTTTGTTTTTTTCCCCATGTAATCTTTCATTGACCTTCAAATACCTTGCTTCCCAGCCCACGAAGCTGCAACAATGTGTCTACTTTGGAATGCTCTTGCTGGTAAGCCTGTTCCACTCATGCTCAGTCTATAACCAAGTCACTGTTTTTCCCTTTCAAAAGGCCTTATTTGAGAATCAATATTTCAGTCCCTGCAGTCTGGATTCCTTTCAAATAAAAAAGTGGGCAGGACCAGCCATTCTCTATAAAGATAAACAAGATTGGTCTTTGCAGTTTATTTGATCTGCTTTAATTTGGGGGTGCTGTTGTTTGTTTCTGTAAAAGCAGGTTTACTTTTAAAAACCTATAGCTCAAAAACTCTTTGCCCAAACTTCCCCAAATTTGGCAAATAGCAAGTGCAGACTGTCTGCTACATGTCTGCCAAATCCCATGTCGATGAAAAGTTCAGTTTCAAAGTTGTAATTTTTTTTGTTTGCGCTGCCCCCACTTTTAGAATTGTCTTGAAGAATGTTGATATGCTGTGCTGCAAAATAACATCACTGCACTCTCCTTGAAGAATATTATCACTGAATCTTGAATCTCTAGCTCCATCTTGGATGAAGTTAGGAATGAACTCTTCCATGTGAAATGGTTTCCTTTTGTGGATTCATTCTTCTGCCTGGTTAGAACTGATGCTGGAAGGAAAGCAATACGGAGCAGAACATTATGTCTATCACCTCAGATGATAGTTCATGCTGTGAGCTCTGCCAATTAGAGATTGCCTGGAGCAGCGAATGCATTTCTTCAAAACATGAGTATCCCAACTCTAGAAGTCCAAAGCAACTCATAACAATGAGTTATAATGAGCTAAAATTACATTGATATCTAAAAATTGAAGCACTAAAATGGGCAACATGTAGTCTATTGCACCAAGATGTCCACACCAGCTGACTATACAATGTATTTGCGAAGGCTTTCACGGCAGGGATCTAATGGTTGTTGTGGGTTTTTCGGGCTCTTTGGTCGTGTTCTGAAGGTTGTTCTTCCTAATGTTTCGCCAGTCTCTGTTACCGGCATTTTCAGAGGACAGCGAAACGTTAGAAAGAACAACCTTCAGAACACGTCCAAATAGCCCGAAAAACCCACAACAACCATATGACTATCCAATGTTTATTTAGGAAGAACCTAATAAGCTACTCCAAGAAGGGTGGGTGCCTTTCTGCCGGAAGCAAAGAGCCTTGCTTCCGAGAGAGGGAAGAGTCCAGCTGCAACAGTATCATGGTACCATTATTTCTGTTGGTGATAATCCCTCAAGGTAGAGTTGCCAGGCCAGCAGCAACCCCCTCTTGAGATTTCAGGGCCAAACCTTGAGACCAAGGGGAAGATCCTTGTGGTGCCATAGAGGAAAGTGTTGGAGGGGCAGAACTGCTTCTGGACAGACTGCTTGTAAAAAATGGGCATGAGGGTAATCCAGCCAAATGGCTCCAGAATCCGGCTTAACATCATTAACTAGGTAATACTGGCAACCCAGAGCCAGGAAAAAGGCATTTTCAGTGGCTAGAGAGGCAACAAAACACTCTCAGCAGCTGCAGTGGTTGCCACTATTTGCCTTGCATTCCATGTGGCTTTACTGACTAGGCACACTGGGGATTTTTACAGGATCCTCAACAGACTTTCAGGCCCTTCACTGCTGCTTCCATAACAGAAAGTCTCATGAGCTGAAATGGTGGTGCTTTCCCTGCTTGATTCAAAATGGCACAACAAGTCTAAGTGTTTGCATTCACTGGCTTTCTTTCCAGTTTTTAGGAATATCAACACTGATCAACTAGAAAACAAACAAAACATCAACATACAGACATCTTTAATATGGGCTGGCAAGGCTTGGTAGCAGTTGCAAATGGATGGAGATTGATGCCCAGGCTGCAAAGAGACTCACCCCTGCTCCCCTACAACTCCTCTTTCACCACTCACTCTGAGATTTGTCTTCTGGAAAGGAGATTCAGGGAAGCACAGCTTTTCTCTGAAACCTCAGCCAATACCTTAAGATTTGGGAGCTCAACCCAAAACAAAATATTATCTGAGGTTGCATTGAATCTGCCAGATCTAAAGCCCCACCGTTCAATCCGGATTGGTTCCCATGCCAATCTATAGTCAGGGCCACCGTGAGGCTTAAGTGCTGGAGCGAGACTAACATATGGGCCCTCTCACTTACACATGGACACATAAATCAATAATATAATAACTGTACATTTATTAATTACATTCAAACATACTTGCAAATATATTAAAAAGAGGAAAGATACTTCTGTAAAAGATAATAAAACAATAATACACATTAGTATACACACAATAATGAAACAATATACGTACACAATGAATTTAATACTAGATTACAAGCTGATAACAGTTATTGTAGTTGAGATGTAATGGTATTTATATTCTGCTAAACAAAGGTGCTTTCCTAGCCTTTTTCCTGGCAAAACTGCAAATCACATCATCAAAATCAATTGTTTTTGCAAGATCAAACTCAATACTGAGTCTTGCCAAATCTACCAGTCGTCCCTGTGGCATAGCCAATCTTAGATAATTTTTTATCAGCTTTAGTTTGCTGAATGTATGCTCTGCACAGGCGACAGTGGCAGGAATTGTTAATAGAATATGGAGGCAGATACAGTACATATATTTGGAAAGAGTCCTTCCAGCTTGTATCTTTTTAAGCAATTCAGCAGCTCCTATGGACTCAGTTGGCTCTCTCCAAAATTTGCTTGATGAACAGATGGCAAATGACTTATCTTCATTACAAGATCGTCACTAATATCAGCGGGATATTGATTTGTCAGTAATTTTGATTTTTCTTTCAGTTCATCTTGAGGAATTGATAGGTAGTTCCAGAGGAAGCTGAACTTCTCAGAAATGTTCACTGCAGCATTGAAACGAGCACTAAGTCCACCAATAACATTATCAAATACCGTACTACACAGAAGACAGACTTTTTGAAATAAGCTTCTTCAGGGGATTCATCCATTTTGTATTTTGCTTTACCCTGACTTCGAGTTCCAGAGTTTCACTTCTATGCACAAATTAGAAGCAATATGCTTAGATTTGCTCCTCATACTTTTCCAGCTGTTCCAAAAATTTGTCAGTTCTAAAATCTAGGTTTTTAAGTTGGACATTTCGACATTCAGTGTTGCATTTCTGCATTGAATAACCTTTTTACAGATATCAACTGTAACTAATACTCTGTACAGACATTATCACACAAATGAAGGATGTGACATAAAACAAAGCTCCATTAATCTCTGTTCTTGTTTTGGCAGTTAGGTTCAACTCCAAGAGGTTTTCTAACGCTAATTTGATGCCTGTTGTACCACCTGGCAGATTCTGTTTCAATTGATGATTCCAATAGATTGTCAATGCATTTGCCAGATGACAGGCACCTTTCTAGTTCTCAACAAGCCAGATAGCACTTTAATAACATCATTTTCTATATCCAATTGAGAAGGAACCTCCGTTATGAGAAATTCAATATCATTTCCAGTATTTAACCTACTGTTCTCTTCACTATGTCTTCCATGGCCGCAATCTGTAGACAGTGAAGTACTCTCATCACTAACACTCGTTTCTCTAAATCCTTAAACTGAGAATTTACTTGATCTGATGTTTCTTGAAAATCCAAACTGGCCTCATGAGATTCTGACCTTTGTTTCAGTTCTGCACTTGTCTCACATTGTTCTGAATTTAAAGTTTCATTTTGGTTAGTTTCACGTCTTTTGCATTTAACACCAAATTGAAAAAGCGTTTTTATTAATGTCATCACGTTTGTTTTTCCTTGCATTTTTAGCTCCAGTTTTTTGAGATGACATTTCATAACCATTCATAAACTGAAATGGAATTAAAATATATTCATGAACAAAATGAAACTAAACTTGCAAACTTAAATAAATAGTGAAATGAAAACCACCCTGCCTGGGAACACACGGACTCAAACAAAACAGAACCGCTAACACGATCTACCTATCTCTGGGTTCCTGTCTCTGCCACTCTGAGTCCTCAGAGCGGCTCCCCCATCCAGCAAGCAGCACAGCCCACAGGCGAGAGAGAGAGAGAGGGGGGGGCTCTGCCCATCCCCTTATCTTTAGCTGGAGACTGCCGGTTGGCTGGCAGCCACTCCTCTTCCCCACAGCCAGGACACCTCTAACACAGGCCCATGGAAGTAAAACAGAAAATGCAAATCAAACAGTACATGAAACATAACACTTTCCAATCACAATATCCAATATTGTTTTTCTTTTTAGAAATGTGGTTTTGTGGGCCCCCTTTGAGCTCCATGGCTCCCGGAACAATGTACCAGCTGCACACACACCCCTCTCCTCAGGCCTGTCTAGAGCTAGCATATATTTTGTTCCTCACCAAAATAAATGAGGGTATTTTTTTTTTAAAAAAAAGCAAATCCTTAAAAAAAGAAAAGAAAGAGAAGGTGAACTTGCCTCTCTACCCTCTTACTCTGGCTGGTACAAACTGATACCAGTTTGGGAGAGGCAGGGTCCTATGTATAGGAAAAGATGCTCGACCATGCGCAACCTTCTCCTGCAGAAACGCATAAGAATCCCTGAATTCAAGCCATTAACTCGACAGAGGCAGAATGAACTTCAGTAAAAAAAAATACAAAACAAAATAAAATACAATAAAAACCACACACATAGGGAAGGGCACAGGGAGTATCCAAAATAAAATCATCTATGAATAAGAAGCTGCATAGCCTTGGTATTTTGGAGACCTGATTAAAGCTGATAAAAGGTATTTTCCTGGAAAGTATTTTCAGCCAGTGTGCATATGTATAGCAAGTTTCATTTATACATAAAAGCAAAGCCTAAGAGATGATTATGCAGATGGAACTCAGTAATTAGTTTAATGGGTACAACTTCAATGCACCTATAATATTATTAAAAAGAGATTTGAGGAATAATAAAAATGAAAATTACACTAATTTATTTATGTTTAATAATATGGATACAATTTACCTTTTGGGGAGACAGGTCCTCTAATATGGTATATATATAGCTTCATATATGTGTGCTGAGGGCCAGTGAGAGCTGTATATTATTTGACTGCATATGAGCACAAAAGACAGACTTGTGAAATTTATTTTACAATTTTATTTAACATATTATTTCATTTGTATCCTACTTTTCTCACAATGCTGGCAGCTCACTACAGTAAAAAACAGTTACAGCTAAACCCCATTAAATCTGAATATTAAAGCCCAATTAAACAGATGATCATATTAAAATAACTGAATTGGAGTATATAACTTCCATATCAACTGAAACTGTGATTGGTTGACAGCAAACCAAGTAAATCCTAAAGAGCCTATGAGGATTACTACCCAGTAAGGGCTTAATTGCACATGAGAAAAGAACTCCAATTATACTGATTCTTTTCATACCTCTGTTGTATCAATACTTTTTTTCCCCAGCGGTCACATAGTATATATATTGGCGGGAGTATTCACATTATTTTTAACTGCATAGATTCATTTTTTAATTTAAACTGTTATAGCAGGCTACACTGTTCTTTAATTTTGTATCAATTCACTTTCTCTACTGTTTCTTGGGACAAACAAGCCCCCTGCTTGTCCTTTCTTTAAAAATAAATAAATAACAAAAGCGATATATCAGTAGAGCAATAGAGTTGTATGAGCCTTCTCTCGTCCTCCTTTTCCCCTTCCCTCCTTTACTCACTTGCTCCCCTTTCCTTATTCCCCTGTATATTTCTCCCTTTTCAGTTCTTGGCTTTCATTTTTTTTTTTTCCCTTTTGCAGTGTTGGGAGGAAAAAGCAGATTTTAGATAACTTGCAAAATATTGTGAAGAGCAGGGTTAAAAAGAGAGAGAAGATATTAATGCTACACCCTGTTCTTTACCATTCAAAATAGGGAATGTCCCTCTTTCTATCTCCCTTTCACCTGCAAGGGAAGGGGGAAGGCTGTCTCCTTCTAAGCAATATATTTTTGTTGTTTTCACTAGTAGCAAGGGATGCTACTAGTGATTTATCGATATTCCTTTTTAAAAATAAAAAAATAAAAAAGAAGGTACAAGCGCAGTGGCCATGAAGTGGCCACAGTGCCCAGAAATCTGACCCATTTGCAAAGGAAATAAATTGACAGCAATGTTCACACATGCTGAAATGATAAGGAATGAAGTGATACATTGGTATAATTTAAAACAGTCCTCCTGGCGAGGGGAAAATAAATCGATTGCCAGGACAAATGAATCAATGTTGGCTGTGCATCATGTGATTGGAAAATTATGAAACAATGTTAAAAACGTCCAAATCAATATACAACTGGCATGCTTAGAATCTATCTGGGAACAAATTCCATTGAATTCAATGACATATTTCTGTGTAAACATGCTTCTTTTTTGATTGGATTATTGTTTTAACTGTAAGTGGCAAGCCTGGTTACTTTGCCTGGGATGAAATCATACATATGCTCACATACAGCTGCAATATCAATAGTGACATCCACCTGTTTGAGAGGATATGAGGTCATGGTTAAGTCTCATGTCAAGGCACACACCCCCACACAGCAGCAGCATGAAAAAGGCTCCCAAAAGCTCCATGATAAGCTCTGCAGCATTTTATTTTCTATCAGATGAAAGCTTATTCCATGCTACCTTTCCTGCCAGACACTTGCAGGTGCTGGGAATATGCCACTGTGGGTGGCAGAATGTCCCACTGAGACTCTCAGCACTTGCTTTGAAAAGTTGAATGGAGCTCCTGGCAATTTTGGGAGTAAACTGGTGTGACCCTGAAATGAAATCCCTCTAAGATTATAATCCTTGACGTATTTACAGGGAAAGAACGTCTACTGAAATTAGCAGCTGGTTTTCTGGAGACATCACCATGGGGCCACTACATATCGGCTCTTTTTGATTTCCTTTCTCAGTCCGCAGGTCTCTGGAAGAGAAATGAATCTCAAAACATTAACATATAACTGATGTGATGGAGAGAAAACATGGACATAAAATGCAACCCTGGTTTTTAACATGCATATATGATGTGACACCACACATACTTATGCACCCGAATGCAAAGGGGAGGGGAGGAGTATGGAATCCTCCAGAGCAAACCCAGGTTGCATTTAAAAGGGTAAGGCAAGTGCGTCCTAAAGAGGAAGGTTCAGGCTTCTCAATGAGGTGCAGAGACTGAGAGGTGAGCTCTGCTAAAAGATGAAAAAGATTGTAGGTACATCCCTGATGGGATCTGTTCTATCACACAGCGACAGATTCAAAGGCTCAGATATGAATTCATACCTGCATGACCATGACTCAGCGATAAAGTAATAATACTGACTCAGTTATATGGCACAACTAAGAAGGATTTAACAGCACAAATAAGTTTTTTTTTTCATGTGACATCACCTCAAATGCAGTAACATTCAGTAGAGGCCACTCACACTATCAACAGTGCTGCTGAGCTGTAACTGGAAATCAAATCATACCCAACTATGTATGACTGAGTAGGTGCTCTAGAGAAGGAAACTACTGTGTAGCAGCCAGATGCTTCCTAACACTCAACACGTGAAGTGGCTGAGAATGTCCCTCATGCTGTAAGAATCAACGGATTTATAAGGAGCCACTCTGATCTCTTAGAACCTTGCTATTTAATGGTAACAACTTAAATTGTGACCATAGCCCAGTTCTTTATATGTTCACTCTAGCACAAACTTGATGGGGTTTAATTAGGCTTACCCTACCAAGTAAGTCTGTTTATGATTCACAAGTCCTACAGTCCCTCTCAGTATATTTAATCAGAATAAATTCATGGATATGAATGCGTATAGGAGGCTCAGGCATTCCACTACGGTGTCCTCCTCTCAATATGTCTTGAGGAAAAATCATGTGAAGTCTGCACCTCACTCCAGATGGTGTTCACGCTGATCTGGATTCACTCCAGATGGTGGTGCTGACACTGATCTGGACTGATGTGTCAGAGGAAAGTCAATTGTGACACAAACCATTGGCAGATATTATACAGCATTTACTCTGGCATAAGCATTTGAGGAGAGCAGTCCCTTTCATCCAAGGGATGAAGTGGTACAGTATCTTGAATCAAGAAGTGTAAATAAGGAAATGATATGCATAAAGCAGAGACCACAACAATAATTTATAATCCGTCCTCTCAACCATGTGCCTTATATATCAAGTTCCAGATGAACACTCCCCCCTCCAACCACGGATATCACATAATAGTAATAATAATCACATGCCATCAGTCAATTCTGACTTCTGGCAACACTTTCCAAGGTTTACTCAGAAGTGGTTTAAAAGTCCTTTCTTTTAGGATATTATGTGGATATTAAACACATCCATACACCTCAATGTTTGGGTAACACTTCATGCATCGGAAGAAGGGAGAGGAAAGCTCCGGTCAAATCATCTCGATCGCTTTTAAAGTGCCACAGGATAGCACCACAGGGTGCCCTAATAAATGCAGTCGCTTTTATTCAGAGGTGGCAAGCCTTTTTTTACACGGCCAGCGTGCAAACGCTCCGAGAGGATTTGCAGGAGACTTTAGCGGAACCCTACCTCGCCTCCTGAGGCAGCCCTTCCCGCCCATTTGTAAGGCGGGAATGACTTCGCTCCGAAGGGATTCTTGGAAAGCGGGGTAACCCCTCCTTGACGTTTCCACAAGATGGACTTCCCCGCCCCCCGA